ATGCTTCCTTGCCAGCCCCTGTCGTCAACTGTTTCTCAAGTATGCCTTAGCTGATTGCATTAAAACTTTACATCACACATAATAGATTACTGATGCACATCATTTTCTTATACCTATAGATTCAAAGTGGCAGACTGTCGGCCATTCTGGTTTCTACCTGTTTCTCAACTTTACTTTTACAGATTTTGTTTAAATTTTGTACAAAGGCGAATCCCCAAATTTCCACTTGTTATCAAATGTTTCTCAGGAATGCCTTGAATAAGTATCACACATTGTGGATCACTGATACATTTTATCAATTTGTAATACTGTAGAATACTTTATTTTTGCTTGGAATTTATTTTCGCTGAAGGGATGACTTCATGAAAATAAAATCCAGCGAAAATACTTTCATATTCATTTATTTTCACAGTTTCATTCAAAATTTATGTATCCTACTTGTTTCTCATGCTGGAAGACAAGACATAATTGTATGAATATTTCTCCTCTAATATTTGAATGCACTGCCTTAACAACTAGTCCTACATGTGGACTAATAAAGTTTCATATGAACAATGTTCGTATTCCAGTGATAAAATACAACCAAACATGTACTTTTATTTAATTATTTATGATTTTTTAAAGGCCATGTCTAGTGACATTTATGTCTTGCAGTATATCTGAATAAAAGAAGCCAATAGAAAACTCAAATTTTATATTTTTATTATTTTTTTTCATGACACCCAAACCGACTTTTTAGTTGTGATTCAAACCCACTCAAATAGATTGCATGGTTGACATTGTGTTCTTATTTCTACATAGCTCCTGTAAAAATTGCTGGGAAGGGAACCATGAAACGAAGAAAGCAGCTTCGTGAGATAGCAAAACAACATGAAGAATATGAGCATGATAGTGATGGTTATTTTGAAGATGATACCAAGGTAATTTGTTTGCATAATTAACTGCTAGCAGGTAGCCCTGTTTTAAATGTTGTGATAATTCTCTCATGATAAGCCTCTTTCTTGCAAGTGTATGTAGCTGTTCTACTATCATGGTAGTAGGCATTCTCATCGTATTAGGAAATATCACTGGTGTTAACAAACAAGCAGAAGACTCACCACAAAAAACTGATTGGAGCTTTTAGGCAGTCAGCTTGGCCCTAATCAATTAAGCAGTTCTTCCGCTGCAAGCATTCAATTAAATACACTGCCAGTGTCCATCAACAAGTAATATTTCTGTCATGGGAAATAAACATAGTATTGTCAAACAGTGACCAAGTGTTAGGTATGCATTTCATATGTGGATAAATACGCCAGTCGAAAGTGTATTGATTTAATTCTTTTATTTGACAAATATTCCATTTCCTGTTTTTTTCTTTTCTAAGGTCTTAAACCTAGTACATGAATATGAAGATGATATTGATGCACCATTACTGCATCAAACACCTGCTTTAAGAATGCAATCCAGATTTGCTCCAGTCTCTGAAAGGAAGACTCCATATGTGACTAATGCATACACACCAGGATTCAACACTGCTTCTCGAGACAAGTATGTATATTCTCTTTCAAGAGTGAATCATTCCAAATATCTATTCATTACATGTATATATTGTCTAAATGAACATCACAAACTTACCAAGTGTACTTGTTTTATAGGTATGATCGTATCATTCATCGATTTCATAAGAAAAAGAAGACTGGGCAAAATCTGAAAGCAAGAGCTTTATTGAATAAGTCTCCAAATGAGGTGTGTGCTTTGTTTTACTGTCTATTCAAAACCATTTAACGCATAAAACTGCCATAATTTATAGATGTTTTCAGGTGATGCAGCTGTAGTAGATTACACTGTAATAGTAATTAGTTGGACAGCGAGTGAAGGGGATCATCAATATTTGTTATCACTATTTGTTTTCATGCCAACTTCTTGAGGTTTATAAGTGAATTTCAGAATAAAATTGCCAAAATAAAGTCATAAAAGCTAACCTACTTTCCTTGTCGCCTTATGAGAGCGTCCGCAAATAACCAAAAGGAATGGGGGGGGGGGAAACAGTGTCAGTGAGAAATGCGTTAAATATTGTCATTTGGTAAGGAAATTGCTGCACATCCCTGTCTTGAAGTCACAATCAATAAATATGATTTCAGTGGCAAAAAGTTTACACATAGTGTTGGTACTTGCACAACATTGTCTGGTACTGTCACCTGGCACAAAACTACTGAAAATAAAAATATTACAGAATGCTTGCGTTGCAAACATTCTCATTTATTTTTGTTATTTAATAGCTACCCAATACCACAAACAAGGTTATAATAGTTATTATTATTTTTACAGGAACCATTGGCAAAATCGGCAAAGCCAAATATCTGTTCATCTGTTGATAGTTTAGCTCCGGGAGTATTTCAAGTTGATTACAAGCCAGTCTCAGATTCGGAAGAAGAACAAGATGTTTATTTTTCAGATGCCTAGAAACATATAAACTCAAGAATATTTTTCTCTTTTTTTAATGAAGTAGACAAGTTTTATCATTTTTAATTTTGTATTTTCTTATTTAGCACACAGAAACACATTTTCTTGCAATCAACTGTTTTTTTTTTATTTTTCTGATCTTTTTAAGTATATTAAAATGTGAATCGTTTGAAGAATGAGCTCTGTAAATATTTTATGCTTGTATATAGGTTGGTTTACCTACCAACTTATCATACGAGTGATTGTTCTGCGTCTGTCGTCCGTGTCAACTTTTTGCTTTTTAGACAGTTCTTATTGCTTTGGTACTTGGTGTATATGTACCTTGGGCAGACCTCTTTTAGATTTGTTCATTTCGTGATAATATCTTAAATTTTCTAAATTTGATGAATTTTTTTGTCATTTTTGGTATTTTTGACTTCTTGTTAAGATCCACAAGTACGATTGCTTTGATACTATACAAATAGGTACCTCAGGTAGACCTCTCTCAGATTTTCTAATGATATTTTCAGTTCTTTAATTGAAATGTGCATTGCTAACAGCAAGCTATCTCAGTTGAGAAGCTGCTTGTTACTATACAAACACACACCGACCAGCCATGTCTGTATTGTTACCATACAAACACACACCTAACAGCCATGTCTGTATTTTTACCATACAAACACACACCTACCAGCAATGTCTATATTTTTACCATACAAACACACACTTACCAGCCATGTTTGTATTTTTTACCATACAAACACACCTACCAGCCATGTCTGTATTTTTACCAAACACACACCTACCAGCAATGTCTGTATTTTTACCATACAAACACACACTTACCAGCCATGTTTGTATTTTTACTATACAAACACACACCTACCAGCCATGTCTGTATTTTTACCATACAAACACACACTTACCAGCCATGTCTGTATTGTTATCATACAAACACACACCTACCAGCAATGTCTGTATTTTTACCATACAAACACACACTTACCAGCCATGTCTGTATTGAGGGTTATCATACAAACACACACCTACCAGCCATGTCTGTATTTTTACCATACAAACACACACCTACCAGCCATGTCTGTATTGTTACCATACAAACACACACCTACCAGCAATGTCTGTATTTTTACCATACAAACACACACCTACCAGCAATGTCTGTATTTTTACCATACAAACACACACCTACCAGCAATGTCTGTATTTTTACCATACAAACACACACTTACCAGCCATGTCTGTATTTTTACTATACAAACAACACACCCACCAGCCATGTCTGTATTTTTTATGTACACACATATACCTACCATGTGCCAAAAAATCATCAAAATCAAGCATTTTAGGAACTTAATCTCATACATTGGACATCACGGCACCTTGTTTTTCAAATAAAATTCATTGATCAGTAACTACCTGTGTTTTTATTCAATAAATGCTGGATCATACATTTAAAATTTATAAGGGCTATGTCATGATTCAACAAGTTCGCACATGTAAAGTTATTCTTTTTTGATGATGTTGCAAGAAAACGTTCTTGGCAAAACCAAGCAGTATGTACAATATATGCAGTTGTGATTTATAACCTGTTTTCTTGTAAAATGCACAATATATTGACATTTTTGACAACTCGTTTAACCATTTCACCACCAGTCCCTTTTTTTCATCACAAATTCATAAAATAGTTTATATATTATAGTAGGTCTGCACTTTTCTTCAGAAGATTCGGCTGAAAATCGACTCAAATATTGTCTGTTGGCTCCAAAATTAGGGTTAATTTCCAGAAAAAGTGCAGAAAAATTTTGATGAAAAAGTCTGGTGGTGAAAAGCTAAGTACTTGCATCAGGTTTTCCTATTTTTATCAGTGGATAATACCACAGTCACTTGGGGGCTGAAAATCAATGAATACTAATTTATAAAAAAAAATCATCCGCTATACGTATATAAATAAACAAGTTGTGAAACATGGCACCTAGTAAATTGACACCATGTCGGTTTCAAATTTAGATTTCTTACCTTAAAATGCGAAACAAAAATTTTAGATGGGATCAGGTGTTACGTTAATAACCGTTGTTCATAATCGCTAACTTTTATTCAAAACTGCACAAATCCCGCGTTTTCTGATGATATCCGACGATTTCATGAACAAAAATGGCCAGCAGCCAGAATCGAGGGGGATTCGCATAGAGTTCTGGGTAAATCAAGTGCGCATACTCATTTTCAGCCAATCAGGCGTGTCGTAACAGCGAGTATTTCCTCGTGTAATCTAAAGCCAGGTTATTCAGTTTCAGGACAGGATTTCTAGTGACAGATACACTACCTTGCTTCAGCCAATCAGATGGCTAGATTCAGACTAACCATGTTATAATCCACCATAGTCTGGGTAAAACATTATGTAATGGCTAAGAATACAGGTCACATATTTCCAGAATATTGTTTACTAACTTCTTGCACATTACATGAATCCGAACAAAATATTATTAATGACAGCAATTACATGTACATTTGTAATTAAGAGGGAGCTCGAAAAATGAAATGACTTCCGTAATGGTGGAGGTGAGAATGAGCTGTAATAAGATTGCATGCCGCCGCCGCCAAGAAAAAATTACATCTTTGGTTAAAGCCATAATACTTTTTGTGTTTCACCTCTGTTAACCATGACTCCTTTGATGGAACCAGAGGATGCATTTGTGTAGCTGTGATCTCTGCTGATGGTTCCCAAATAAAAGGCAATTGTAGCCTAATTTTTGAACCATGAATGTTTTTCAGGTTCTGCATTATCATCTGTGAACATGATTTTGAATCCTGTTTCAAGTGGGAATGTACGTTTCAGTTCTTCGGTAAAATTATCAAAAAACAAGCATTTTTAGTCCAAGACATTAATCACCAATTGGTTACTTGGCCTGCATTTAAAGTGGGGGAGTCGTCATCTGCGCATGCGTCAGATGGCCATAGCGTGTCATTGTTTACAAACCAGCGTATACCCATGAGCCTTTGCATTTTAGTGTGTGTTATCGTCGCTTGGGACTCAATTCCCAGGCATGCGCAGGTTGCGACCCTCCCGCTTTAATTATAATACAACTTTCAGTGGATTTTTCAAGGAAAATCTGACACATGCACAAAAGTAGACTGGCAAAGTCGGGACTTCATTTTTGTTTTACAAAAAAAATATAATTGTCAATTTAGCCTTCTAACGTGATCGCGAAAACTAGCGACTGCGACAAAAATCCTGACTGGATGCATCTGCAGGCGACCCCCTGTGTTGGAGTGAAAACCGGAGTGGAATCATTATGCTAATTGACATCGAATCTGAGTGCAGCTGTATACGTCATCTCTTATCTATGTTAATGTTCGTGCGATTTTGAATATACATTGGACATTAAGATAGACTTGTTTTCAGTAAACATGGACGAACGTATCGCCGCGATCGAATCGAATCAACCTTTAAAAGGCCACGTTTACTTTCACACACCCACTCATGAATAATTAATAGCAGTCAGATGCCCGCAGATGCGTCCAGTCGGGATTTTCTTTAGTGGTCAGGTTAGTTTTCGCGATCACGCTAAAAGGAATAAAGGAACAATTAATTCTTTTTGTAAAACAAACTGACTTTGTCAGTCTAGCACAAAAGTTGAATTCCAAGTTGTAATATTACCCACAGTTGCATTTTCAATCTCCCAACAGCATACTCAGTGTTTAATTCAGTGGTGTTGGACAAGGATCTTTGTTCTAGATCTGGATATAGTTAACCACATAAATATTCCAACCTTGCCCATTCATAATTTAGATAAATAACAAATCAGGCCTTATCACTATAAAGTGGTAATTATACAGAAAAAATATCTGGTTGTCATGACTACGAGTGCAAATCACTGCATTTTGCTGTACTTGTGTCTAATCTTAAAATTATAAGCTGGTTAAAATGTTATATAATGATTGATAAGGATTCTAAGTTGATCAGAATTACATACATGACATGTTAAGATTTTTTTTTATAGAAAAAAGAATTATAATACAGAATAAGAACATGTTCTGTTATAGCATCCAAATAACTCATCTTGTATAGTCTACCGGTACTACCGACATCTGGTTCTTGTGATCAGCAGTGTAAATGTTTTATTGTAGTATAATTTTTACTAATATCTGAAAAACCATATTGCTAGTCACATCCATTTTATAGTTTTAAACTGATTAGATAAAAACTGTTTGACTTATTGTACTAAGAAGACAATTTTAAGTTTAAAAAGAAAGCAAATCATTCCACAACTGAACTTTGGCCAGATTTCATACTGATTAATACAACACCCAACTTTGAAGATAATCAGAAAAGAATCGCTAGAGTTATTGTAACCACACGAAACAAAGTTACGACTTAATGACATTTTCTCCTTTAACATTATGAGCAAGCTAATAAAGGGGAAATGTTCATTTAACACTGAGAACATTCAAGTATTGTAAAAGGAACTTCCTGAAAAAAATAAAAATATAAAATCCAATCAGCCATTTTTGATTGGAATAGGCCTAGTTATCATGAAGAAACAGTTGCTAAAACATTCCAGTATTATGATCCAAGTTGTCAGTACATCAACAAAATATGTCAAGAACCCAGGCCCTCGTCTCATCAGGCGAGCACAAAACTAATGGAGGCATAGCTAGAAATTGGGAAGGAATTAAAAATGAGAAGTCTGCTACTTGAAATGCACAAAGTGAATGCAATAAATTTGATATTGGGTTGATATTGAAAAATTGCCTAATTTATGTACTGATAATTAATGTTATCACCCTGCACATATTTCAATCCTAAACTAATCTGTCCGAATTACTGTGATTTCATTGAAATCTAGAATTGCCTAATAATTATGCAAATTAGTAATTAAAATATACAAATTTTTCAACTCAAAACTAATGTGCAATGGAATGTGTGGACCTGATATGAACTACCGTAATCCAGTAAGAGGGGTTCCTGAGATAATGTTGGAGAAGGCAGATAGACATAGCACTGCCATGGTGTAGTGATAGAGTTGAGATTACATACTGTAAACCTAATTTTTACTGACAAAAATCATCACGATCTCATTCGTGAAAGACAAAATTTTACTGACTCAAAATTACAATATTATTTTCATTCATGTTTTTTGTATGCAATCATCTGCACACCTGAGCTAACATTAGGTTGACTTCTGTTTGTAAGAAACATCACCATAGTGCAGCAAACGCACGAAAATCATGCTCAAAATATTTTACATGTATCCATGCACGATATATTTATCAAACATAATGTGTGCCCTCTAAGACGAGATGATGCACCACTGACACACAAAGGTTTACTGTGATGAAACTAGTTGTGCTAATACACTAGCAAATCATTAACACAACAGAAAAAGCATCCAACTATAGTCTTGGAAATTATAATTCAATAAAATGAAATTTTATAAACAAAATAATCGTAAATATGAAGATAATCGGGAACCAAAAATTTTTTGTTTGTGCCTCTTGTCATCTATATAAGTACTTACAATTTTATTTTTTTCTTGAAGAGTGACCTTCCCAGCAATGAACAAGCAGACTCCACTGAATTTAGGGGATTCCATTTTGACTACAAAATCAGTCATATGTTAGAGGGCCCACTGTTGACAACTGTCACTTATTTTAAACAGGAACATAAACATATTAAAAAAATATATACTTCACAGACATAGATTAAATAAAATAGGTTAATTATAGATATTAAAAGCAATAAATAATATTTATATGCAATTACAATAGGTGCAGAAATGTACATATGAAAACTGCTTGCGGCTTTTCCAACAGAACACCAATCTGTAAAGGTTTTCCTAGTCTCTACTAAATGGCTTTAACACATTCACTATCCAATGTCAAAATGGTTTCCTCCACTGAACACAATGTATGGTGCCTCAGGTATAAATATATCTTCAAAAGACTTCCATTATATGGCTCTTTTCAAGGCTGAATTTCAAAGAATAAAATCAGAAATATGACAGGGAGATGAGCATATTATGTTGTCCCATTGGTACTATCAGAGAATGTGGAAAAGAAACTTCAAAGTGAAAATATGGCTCTTGATGTTGAATATTACCTCAATGTTATGAATTCATCCACAGACGTACAAGAAGTGTTGAAAGGATGGCAAGATGAATGTCATAACATATGCTGTCAGTAATACAAAGTTGTAAGGAAAGCAGATAGCGATATTGTGGCTTTCATTCACTTTTTTTTTTACTGCTTGCTGTAAAATTTCTCTCTCTCTCTCTCTATATATATATATACAGGTGAAGTTTGTGAATACACGATTTACAGTAACAAGTAATAACAGAGCTTGAATGTTTATGAATATATTGTAGAAGAAATAGAGACTGGCTTCACCAAAACATTTATTGACAGTTAAATAGAAATTTGAAAGTTTTACGAAGTATGGCTTTGATTAGATTTCTGCATTTGCTGTGAGGCAGCTATAAAAATAATGTAGCAAACTGTATAACTGTAGAATTTGATCAATCTAAAATATGTACATAAATTTAGGTAATGAGTTATCGTTATCTCCCATCTCTAGTTTTGTGTGGTACATGTACCAATGGTGATCCTGTGTAGGCATTGCTGGCAGTGTACATTGCACTGGGTTTCGTAACATTGGGTAACCTTATGTGATTACTCAATGCTGAATTATATGGCAAAGCATTGCCACTGTATTGTGCCAATTGAGGAATTGGTTCAATGTCTGTATGAAAACTAACATTTTTATTTGTGACTGGGGTCCCATATGGTGTACTAGCAGCCCTGCTCGGCGTCTGTGGAAGTCCTATATTACTTAGATGTTGGGTTAAATTTACACTGGGTGTATAGGAATTGTAAAGTCCTGTAGGATTGGCTTTGGGTAAAGCAGCAGTGTATTTTGGTAATGGTAAACTGGATGATGATATTGATGAGCTACCAGTAAATGTTGAGGTTGTTGGTCTGTTCCAATCATCCTTAAATACTTGTATTGTTAATATGGAAACTAAATTAGAAAGTCTATTGGTGACATGTGCCAGTACCATCTGTTGATAGAGAGCAAAAAAAAAAAGGTTACACAATGTACGTCAGTGAGCCACAATAAATGCAATTTTCAATTGATGACAATTTCTGTAATGTTTTGGCATTCCATTGTAGTTTGATTGTGTGAGAGAAAAAGGATCAACAAGTGTACAGCAAAACTGCATGGAAAAAACATTTCTATTCATTTTCATTCATAATTGTGAATGCAATACATGTTGACAGCACATGAACTTAGTTTGAAAAGAACACTCCTTGTTTGATTTCCAATCAATAAATGCCAACAAATGCCAATATATATCATGTATATGAATTTGTTACAGGAGAAATAAACTCAACGCAAAGATTGTTTTTCACTGAATAAATTAAACAACTTACCTGTTCATTAGCATCTCTTCGTATTCTGACATGGAGCGAGCCAGCTAATCTTCCGAACGATAATGTCCAAAAATGTTCATTTCTAAATTCTAATACACCATCTAATGTTGAAGCCTATGAATTTAAATAATATTATAATAGTTACCGTAATATCAAGATGACACAGTTTAGAACCATAAAATGCTAGCTAATAACCCACTACTAAGATACACCTTATTTAGATTGGACTAATAGTTTGCCCATCAATGCAAAGGTTAAATTATAGAAAAA